AGATACAGTCCACCTTATCAGACCAGATGAAATTCAAGAAGGTAGACAAAGAAAAAGCTGGTACGGATGAAGTAGAGGCGAAGCTGACTGACTGTCTAAGACGGCTCCACACAGGGGGTTACATAAATGACCGTGACCTCGAACACCTCCGACCAGTCGGCACACATCTATATATGGTCTATATGGTCTACCTAACATCCACAAGGAAGACCTAACAGTTCGTCTGATTTTAGACATGCGAAACTCTCCTTATCGTGCGCTAGCAAAGTGGCTAGCAGAGAAACTCAAGCCCGTACGACATCAGCTAGTACCACGCAGCTATCAAGATACCTTTGAATGCATTGACGACATTAAAGACCTTAACCTCAACTGCATGATGATGTTCTCGCTGGACGTCTCATCACTTTTTACAAACGTTCCCGTTACTGAGACAGTTGAACACATCTGTGAATTTATCTCAAACAATCAGCAGGAAATAGGAATTCCTACGAAGACACTCAAGGAATGAAGGCGGAACTTCGAGTTCCAGGTGTGTACATGAGTGAAGAAAAAGAGTCGATCACCGGCTCGGGTGCTCGACTCTTCTTCTACACTCAAGGAAGTATTACTAAGATGCACATTAAATGTGCAGTTCCTGTTGGACAGCCAACTCTATAGACAAATAGACGGCGTTGCTATGGGCTCGCTTCTTGAACCTCTCCTAGCCGGTGTCTTCATGGACACATTGGAGAGATTCCAACTAAGCGATCAGATCCGAAAACTTAAACATTACGGCCGCTATTTTGATGATATCTTTGCAATTTCCACAGCAGAAACCGACGTAGCAGCCCTTTTAAACGCTGTAAATCAGGCACATCCCTCTACCAAATTCGCGTTCGAGATCGAAACGGCCGGTTCGCTCCCTTTCTTATATGTTCTTATAAGTAGGAGACCTGACGGGAGTGTCCGAAGAAGCGCCCATTGGAAGAAAACCTGGTCTAGACAATACACAAACTTAGCTAGTTTCATACCCCTACAACAAAAACGAAATCTAGTCCGATGTTGGGTACAAAGGGCTAGAAAAATTTGCTCAAGAGATAGGACAGAGGAGGAACTTAGAAAAATCCAGGATTTCCTTCGTGAAAACGGGTACCTGGACAGGTTTATTTCAAAGAATATGGCCGAACGACCGGTAAAACCCGCCGCATCGACTGCCGAAAAGAAAAGTCTGTTTCATAAAGTCCCTTTACGAGTTCACTCGCAGCGTCCCCTTGAAAAGAGACGCCTTGATCAAGCTGTTTCGCGAACCCTTCTC